CTCGCCATATATCGTAAATTTTTATAATGGGCCTCAAATGTTTTCCAAAATTTTGCTTATCAAACTCTCTCTGCATGCAAATACTCTGGTTTTTAAACTTAATAACATTGAAGACAAGCCCTCCTAAATCAAGCTCTCTTCGAAAGTCCATGTTGAGCATGAAAGTAGTGTTCAAGAAAGCAGTAATGTGACTTTTAGGGGGGATATCCAAACAGAACTAACAACAGGTATTTTCCTATTATATATGCTATTAATAAGCCGCTTTTTTTGCTTAAAATCCGCGGTTCGTATACAATATCTCCGTAGCTAAGTCTAAATAAAGTTAGTGACTCACAAAGAGTAATGCGTGACAGTACAGCAAGTTTGTCATGGATTTGGTATAATGCCTTTACGATAAAACACTTTTCATCATATCAGGGACATCATTTTCGAATCTGAAATTACTATCAAAGGTTATATTCTAACCTTAAAACTTAACGTCTAGTTAACCGCATATTATACGTATTTGCGTTTTTGTGCCCATTAACATATATTTTGACATTGAGAGGTTTATATATATATTTAAATAATACTTGTTTTTACGGATTTTATCGCGTATATTAACTTATTTTATATTCCCGACGTTTTGAGCACTTTACAGCACCTATATTCACAGATTTTTCCCAATGTCATAGTTAAACATAGAGAGAGCTATCTTCACATAAAAATTATTAATTTTTGTCCGATCTACGTGTATGTGAAGAATCGACGCTCCGGGAAATCTACAGTCTGTGAACACGTACAGGACCGCCCCGTTACTATTTCAGATTTGATCGACCACAAATCCTCACTAAAGGACAGCGATTCTTTCCAAGGATGATTCGCGAGACTATAGGAATCATAAAACATCCTAATTTCAATAGAGAAAATGATGGGTGCTGCCATCTGCTTAGGATCCTATAATTAATGAAATTAAATCCTAACCTAATTAAGCATAAGGTAACGAAATTAAGCATACAACCACAAACCTTCAAGATACTATAACAAAGACCTATTATATTAATACATAGTTATAATAAAAGAAAGTTGAAAATATATCACGAATTCCATCATAGCATTTAAATGAGTCATGGAACAAAGTATATGCTACATTCGATTGGCGTTTATTTGTAATTCTAATACGCTAAGATTCCTCGTATGATAGAAAACTGATGAAAATGTAATAACTAAAATTTTGAGCTAATTAAAAAAATAACCAGTAGACGATACGGCTAACACGATACGGACAAGTAGTCGCGCCTAACATGCGCTAGAAATAATTCCCCGGTACTTATCATAGATGGCGGTGGTGTGAGTAAAAATAATCAAATCACTTCTTCATCTTCAAAAAAGGGCTCATTACTCATTAGTCTTCGCTAATTCGCGTCTGCTGTTGACACGCCTTATGCTCTTAGCGCATTATTAGTTTAAATCGTTTAAAGCTTATAATAGATAGTATTTTCCGGCTATACACTATCACAGACACACAGTAACACCTACAACATACATGCCACAATATTCAGAATTAACGTCGCTTAATGATTGTGAGTACAAGCTTCTCGGTAAGTAAATTTAATTCCTCTAATTAAAGATAAATATATTTTCCCGTGCAATCAAGTATTTAAGGCTACAAGGTCACATCTCGTGCCCGGCTTGATCAGGTACTACATAATTGATATTTTTCACTAATGGTAATATATAGCTTTATAAAACAAATAGGTATATATATATATATATATATATATATATATATATATATATATATATATATATATATATATATATATATATAAATAATACACATAAAAAACTGTCAGATAGCACTTCAGAAGAGCTTTCTTAGCTTCACACACCTGTAAAAATTATTTTTGGGTTGTTAAGAAATATTTTTTAGGAAGTATTTTTATTAGGATTTATTTTTGATTTCTTATATTGACGCGAACACTACACATTGATTAAAACTAATTTTACGGAATTTATCGCGTTTTATTTATTTTGTTTTTAGTACCAAACGTTTCAGAAAGTCTGCAGTTTGTGACCCATCCTAGACGGCCCCAACCATTTCACTATATTTGATAGACCACAAATTCTTGTGAGGCTATTGAAATCAAAAAAAACTACGTAATTTCAATAAAGAAGGAGGCTCTCACTTGCTTGGGTCCCTATAATTAATAAAATTAAAAATGTTAATATTTGTTCAAAATTCAAAAAATGAAATTAAATAAAACATGCAGTGTTAATCTTCATACTGCCAATGTCAAATATAGTTGTTTGATTCTAAGCTAATGTTTCATCTCCTTGAGGAAGTTTTGCGGGGTCGAGGTAGCCCTCTTTTCCCGGGCATCATCGCGGGGGGACACGTTTCCCCCAGTACTGGGTGCTGCCACGCAGCTTGTTCGTAGGAGTGTTGCGCACTTCACGCCATCAGGCTAGGTGTCGGGAATGCTCACTCGTCCCCGGCAGCTCCCTCGCCAGGCGGTGAGCGTAGGAGTTCACGTGGGAGTGGCCGCCCATCGGTTGGGCGCGCATGTAATGGTGCCAGGTTTTGCAGGTGGGGATATCGCCCGTTGTCTGCGCGGTCGAACAACCGTCTTGCAGTACGGGCCACAAATTCGTGTATAGACTCGATTTTAAGGTCCCTGGCAATGAGGTCATTTCTGACATAGCGGCCTGCTCCCACGATCATCCTGAGCGCTAGATTCTGCTGGGCTTGCAGCCTCTTGCGCTGTGTGGTCGACGTCAGCGCGTACCTGGCTGGCGCTGCGTAAGTCAACCGTGAGCGAACGTAGGTCTTGTAGATGGTTACTTTCGTCCTTAGTGGGAGCGTGGATGCCAGTATCGGGTATAGTTTCGCTGGTGCGACTCTGGCTTGAACCACGACGTGGTTGACCATAGGAGTCATTCGCAACGAGCGATCTGTCTGGCATCCTAGGTAGGTGGTAGTACCTTTCCAACCTATGTGCGTAAAATAACAGCATAACGCCGCTGTGTTTCGTATAGTAGATTCGGCATATTTAGTTGATTCCCCTGCCGAAATTTAATTATACAGATTTTTTGTAAGTAGCAATGTAACATAAAATTTAACATAATTATAAACACATTTAACGAACACGCATCACTTTTGGCCGGATGGTTCCCAAAATATAGCATTTTAAATTTTTTTGGTCAGGGGAATCAATAAAAGACGACAAGGGAATAAAAACTGAAAAAAGATATATAAGAAAATCAACTTTTATTATAATTTTACAGTAGGTCTATATCTCTATATAGTACTATTCAGTCATTTGGTTGCAGACATTGGCACTTTTTGGGCTTTGTTTGCGAGACGAACAAGGACATTAAGATATTCATATAAATTGTTCATATTGATAAAATTTGTAGTTTTCAAATAGCACTCATGCAAGTCGCACGAACTAATAATAATAAATTATTTTTAATCGAATAGACGGGTAATTTTTATTTTTAGGAGTGGGGTAAACGAGCATACGGCTCACCTACAACATTAATAGGTATATGGATTTAAACGAGGCGAGAGGGGTGTGTCAGGATCGTGCAAAATTTTTCATATCGAGTGACGTGCAGTTTCGTGGTAACTTGGAACATTACAAGGCGCAGGTTCGGCAGCACATGAAATACCGTTCCCATCTCTGGGCTGGGGCTCTCCAGTGCCAGCTCCTCTCATTTGGTCGCATTCAGCGCAGAGCCGTTCAAATCGTCGGCGACCGAGCTCTTTTCGATCGGCTTGAATCACTGGCACTACAAAGAGATGTTGCATTTCTTTACGTATTTTATCCTAATCACCACAGGGAGTGCTATGAGGAATTGTTCGTATAAATCCCAGCAGTCAAATTTCATGAAAGCACATCGCGGCAAAATTTGCGATATCATCCACACCATCTTGATGACTGGCGGTCCACCACTGTGCTATTTAAAGGAAGTTTTTTCCTTGCACAACTTCTACAAAATACCGGAATCGACTACCACCAGAGATTTTCCGAATCGATACATCTTAGGGCCTCAACTCCCTGGTGTTGCAGTTTTGAGCGACGGTAAATCACTTACCATCAGGTGAGCCGTATGCTCGTTTACCCCACTCCTAAAAATAAAAATTACCCGTCTATTCGATTAAAAATAATTTATTATTATTAGTTCGTGCGACTTGCATGAGTGCTATTTGAAAACTACAAATTTTATCAATATGAACAATTTATATGAATATCTTAATGTCCTTGTTCGTCTCGCAAACAAAACCCAAGAAGTGCCAATTTCTGCAACCAAAAGACTGATTAGTACTATATAGAGATATAGACCTATTGTAAAATTACAATAAAAGTTAATTTTCTTATAGATCTTGTTTCAGTTTTTATTCCCTTGTTTTCTTTTATTGATTCCCCTGGCCAAAAAAATTAAAATGCTATATTTTGGGAACCATCCAGCCAAAAGTGATGCGTGTTCGTTAAATGTTTTTATAATTAAAAAGAAGGTTACTAATTTTTAAATTTTATGTTACATTGCTATTTATAAAAATCTGTATAAATAAATTTCGCCAAGGGAATCAACTGAATATGCCGAATCCACCATACGAAACACAGCAGCGTTATCCTGTTATTTTACGCTGATATTCTGTAAGAGCGTGGCCCAGTCGTGCATACTACTAGTATATCTGCAAAATGGCTCTACCACGTAAAGCTGTCAACTTGTACTCATTACTTGGGGAATTTGGAATCAAACAACTACGTTTGACATTGGCAATATGAAGATAAACACTGTATCTTTTATTAAATTTTATTTATTTAATTTTGAACAAATATTAACATTTTTTTCCAAGTAAATATACTTTTTGATTTGACACAAAATATGTTACATATTGTTTGTAATCCCTTAAAGTTTTGGTGCAAAATCGATTTTTTAATACAACAGTCTTTTAATGGATTAAATGATAAGATCCTTTTTGCGAGGTCATAGATCTTCAGTTTTCTTCTTTAGGCAGTACTCATTGCTGGTGTGACAGTTTCAGCTTTTTCGGTTACGTATGCAACATCTGCAGTACCGCGATTTAGGCTGCGAAATAATGCAATTCTCTAAACCATGTTCACATAATTCGGATTTTAATGTGAAATCTAAGTCCATATAATCAACGTATGGTAATAAAAAATGTAGCATACTCTAAGTAACGTGTAGCCATATATATAATTGAAAAATGCATAAAAATAAAAGCTGTAAAATTAAGTCCATAAATCTGTTACGCTCTACTCAAGGTTTTCATTTATATTAAAATGAGGGCACGTGGTAAATCGGCATTTATTAATTAATTGCAATGAACAATTTAATTTTTGCCGGCGGGGATCTAACCTGGGTTGTTCGCGTACTCCAAAATTAACAGCGAGCCTTTAGCCTCTGAGCTACCGTAGCTCTTACATCTTATTTATTTGATCCTATATTTTGTTAAGGTGATATTTATACGTATAAAAATAATAGTTACAACCTATATATATATGGCACAGGCCTTCTTCAAAGAGAATCTTAAGGCAAGAAAATATCTACAGTACTTCCTAAATACGTATTAGCTGATTAAAAATATTTTGAAAATATGTAAAATATCTTTAAAATATTCTTTGTAATTCTAAGATATGCATTTTTCTTCAAGAAGTTATGGAACACACGGTGAATCTACACTTCAAATTTCGGTTATAATTATATTGTACCAGTGGGGGAGCACTTTCTAATTTATTACCATAAGTAATTAAATTATTTAATAATTATTCAGTGCGAAAGCAGTAAGATGACAGTAACTGTTTTAACTTTTGCTCCCTAACTGTCCTCCTGAAACTCATCAACCCGATTAATGGCGGAATTATAATATGCCGCAATTAAATAATCTAAAATCTTATAGACTGGTGATGAGGAGTAGCTAATGCTGCTCCCCATCAGGTAATACAGCTCCAACCCGCCTCTGTAGCATAAGCAAATCACCCACGAAAGGTACAACATATACACAGCACAAAGTTGAATAAGCTATTGTCTAGTAGTGTCAAAAAATTTCGATAAAGAAGAAAATAGATACTAAAGCAGAGTTATATCTTAAAAAAATATACTTATAAAATCCTGAGAGTTGAGGAACATATCGCCCGAAATTGTCGTAGTGACCAGCATTATGAGCGCCGGGATAATATCTTCCAAAGGTGTCGTATCTTCCAAAGTTGTCGTATCTTCCAGAGTTGTCGTATCTTCCAAGGTTGTCATATCTACCAAGGTTGTCGTATCTTCCTAGGTTGACATATCTACCAAGATTGTCGTATTTTCTAAGGTTGTCGTATCTCCCAAGGTTGTCGTATCTTCCAAGGTTATCGTATCTTCCAAGGTTGTCGTATCTCCCAAGGTTATCGTATCTTCCAAAGTTATCGCATCTTCCAAAGTGGTCGTATCTTCCAAAGTTGTCGTATTTTCCGTCGTTGTCGTATCTTCTATAGTAGTTGTACTCGTATGCACCAGGGTAGTAATGATAAGGGCTATAAGATCCGAAAGGCGCTGTAGAGGTTGCAAAATTGTATCTGGGTGTCGATGGGATGAACTGAGATGACGTTGGTCTGAAATTATTAAATAAAAATTTATAAATCATTACACATAAAATAATGTTAAAAGGCAAACAATGAAGGCCATAACGTTTAGAGTTATACCCTTTTACTGTGTGCCTTACGACATTACCAGCCCGTAAACATTATACTACTGTAATAACAAAATAAACATCTCATTTGCTTTAATTGCCATACTTTGTCTGTGTGCTTTCCAATTCTGTTTTATATGCTCGTTTTCAAATTTGCTTATTTAGGGGAGAATTCAATAAATATATACAGGAAGCTTTAAAATCATCGTGGTATTTTTCTTAGTCAAATATTATTTTTCTTAGCCCCTCGCGATATAATCTTAAACTATTACCTGACCGCAGTGTATATAGTTTACGACTTATTTATGAACTCACTTGTAATCACCACTATTGTCTGGAATGTAATCACCACTATTGTCTGGAATGTATTCTCCATTGTCAACGGCTTTGTTGAGGTTTGCACCTTGTGCGGTACTGTAAAATCCAAGCCCTGGACTATAAATATTATTTAAATGCAATTAGATAGAGGTTATACAAAACTCTCTTATAGAATACTTAGACTAAAACATCACAATTAGTTAAAAAATTGTAATTAAAAATGTCGATCTAGGTAAATATTAGGATTTTTAGCTTTTCACTTAACTTTACGTTTCTCACTTGAAAAATAGCATCAAACTCGCATAAGCCTAATGAGTATTAAGGAGATACGTTTTCGGTAGATAATACCAATATCATCATCATCATAATTACAGCCTTTCACAAGTCAATTGCTGAACATAGGCCTTCCTCAAGGAATGCCACAAAGTACGGTAATGAGCCAACTGCATCCGTCGACTTCCTGCAAGCAACAACACTACCAATATATTATGTAAAAATCTTTATTGTTAAATTTTCTATTTGTATAGAATTTCCATATGTCACTCTTCTCATCCTTACTAAGCCGTAAACATTCCACTGCTATAATAGAATAATCCACCTATTTGCTTTAATCGCCATACGCACGCGATATCTTCTTACATCACCACCACATGGCAGTGTATCCAATTTACGAATTATCTATGAACTCACTTGCAATCAGCACTATTTTCTGGAATGTATTTTCCACTTTCTTCTGCTGTAAATTATCATTCAAATGCAATTACATTGATGTTACCCAAAACTCTTTTGTAGTATACTTAGACTAAGTCACGAATAGTAAATAATTGTAGACAAAAAAGTCAACCTAGATAAATGTTAGGTCAAATCATTACCAATAAAACAATCTTAAAAGGCAAAGAATAAAAAACGTAGCTCACTTAATAGTATCCGCTCCAGCTGCCAAAGCAAGCGCCAGAGATAGACACAGCACCTATTAACCCAAATTAGCAAGCATTAGTGATAACTTTCTAAACTGAATACAAATCAAATAAGGGGATGTCCCTTTTTACAAATATTATCTTACAACCTTATTAATTTCAGTGACAGTTATCATATCATCATACACCTTTTTCACTATCCTGTAAAGTCCATCGCTGGACATTAGCCTTTCCCGTTGCCAAAGGGTTTTACGTTAATCGTCACGCTTGGTGGGCGCATACAATATTATTCTATATTTTAATACGTATAGAGAAAACTTTGATCCTTTTGAAAAATATTGTATATGCGCGTCATCGTGCGTGCGCAGCAATGCAAAGGCACTCGTGAGTTTAGTTAGATACGAGTAGAGACCTAAGAGACCGGAGAGAATAAAAAACTGTTGCGGTGACGGAGTAGCAGCATCGCGCGATATATTAGGACACCTGTTCGACCATCCAACGATATCTTTCATCGTGCGTTGAAATCGCGTCGTTTAATCGTGCGACGGTACGATCGATAGCCAATTAAGACAACACCTTAAAGTTTTTACGGAGAATTGGGGAAAGTTAAAATTTATTTAAAATATGTGTTACAAATACAAACATTAAATTAATTAAATAATGCATGTGTTGTTCAATTTCATCTGTTAATGTCAAACACTTAAATATGGCTTGGATTTTCATACTGCTAATTTCACAAAGCATGTACTTTATTACATACTCTGTGAAATAAATGTAAAATTACTACGTTTGGAATAAAAAGGCTAAAGAGCGTTTATTTTATATTTTGCATATTAGATATCTGGGTTTATATATTAATATGCAGTTAAAAGTTAAATACCATTTGCTACAATCCTATAATTTAATGAATTACGGTCGAATTTTGACCACTAGTACATATTAAAAATTAATTATGTTACCTCATCAATAACGAATAACACTTAGATGGCTTAATACGTACCAAAACTCTCCGCATTTTGTTATAATCAATCGAGTCAAACTTTATAAATGTAACACTTTTAAGTTCGATGCTTATTTATACTCTAATTCTCTCTATTTTTTAAAGTTATTCTTATGTCCAGTTTTACTTGATTATAATTTTTAAAATGATTACATACTTGTTTATCACCAGAGATTCCCAATCTTAATATTATTATTTTATTCTATTTGCGTTTTAACATAATTTTCTAATTTTTATCTCGAAGTACGAACGATAAAATTTTATAAGGTAAAATATACATAATTGCAGGCACCGAAATTGGTACGTCAAATTTTTGTAGTACGCTATGCAATTTATTCACATTTAAAAGACACTGAGTGTACCTGTATCGGTTTTTACTTTTCTTAAAATATTTAAGACAGGCAGATCTTTCATCTTCCTTTTGACATTTTACACAGCCCAAATTTACATTCATACCTCCGTAATCGATTTACAGCTTCTACTCGTAGATCTCACCTAAACACACTCTTTATCCTTTATAGCTCAGTCATCATTATCTTTTATTTTCTGTACAACCAGTCTTAAAAAAATTCTATGAAAAAAACAGTGATTTTGTAAAAAAAAACGAGTAGAGACCTTTATTTTCAGTTCCCTACGTGGCTATTATATCTTTAATATTTATTATATTTTTATCTATTAGTTTATTTATCTACATTATATGTATAAATATATTTATAATTAGTCATCTAATAACAAAATACATACATTTTATTTTTTAATATCTAATATACAAAAATTAATTTTTGTTTGTTCGTATTTTATGCACTGCCATACCGTTCAGATCAGTAAAACTTTATCAACATATTGCTTGCACTACCACGAAGGTTATAAGCATGGTTAAATCAGGTAGGTGGCGCTGTTGTAGAATGCAGATATCACCCGTGCAAAGCCGGGTTAGAGCGCTAGTTTATTTTAAATTATTAAATAAATTTATAAAAGTTAGGGTTTACGTCACCTAATGAATAAATTAACGCTTTAATTTTTTTATATAATTGCAATGGCGTGCATCTCGGACTTGTCATGCGTGCATTCTTACATTATCACACAATTTAAATATTTTTTTTGGATATATGTTATTTCTCATTACAGTAAAGCCCCAGGACAATGATTAATATAGTAGAACTGAGTTAAAACAAATTTTAAATCTAAAAACATGGTTTTGCCAATCAATTTTTTTATATATAATCGTTTGTGCGTATGTAAGTGATCGTGTAATATCTTAAAAACTTGACCGATTGAACTCATATTCACACAAATAATTTATATCGATACGATGGTTCATAGCTATACCATTATTAGATAGGTAGTGCTCTAGACAAGTTATTAACAAATTTTGTGATTTAAAAAATAATTTATAATAGCAAGAATGAGAAAAGCTCTACGTTATCCTCGCACGTAGTTTAAAATAATAAGAAAGTTATTATTTGAAAACCTGTGATTAATTTTATTTACATTAATACCTATGTCTCATTATAAATGTAATTATGACAAACTGGTACGTTTTTAATAGTTTCCTGCTTTAAAATTTTCCAGAGACTAATATCATGTTTTAGAAAACAGACTATAACTTTACTGACTAAAATAATATAAAAATAACTTGTTTAGTTATCTGAAGCAAAACTTATTAACTTTGTAATAAGAATCTACAGAAAATATCTAAACACTTCAACACGGTATATGAATATTTTAACGACATACAAATTACAAAAAGTATGTCAATATTTTCTTAAGACATGTATGTGTATCCAATAAAACTTTATTTGATAATGTACCATCCTTTAATATTAACAATGCCTTTAAATGAGATTTCAGGTGGTTATGCACAAAAAAAACGCAAGTGTGAAAGCTATGCATGTCATTTGAATGGAGAAGATAACAAGGTTACAATATAAGACTTTTAAGTACGTAGGTTAAAAGTCTAGACCAATCACATAATTCTAGTTTTTATTTCACATCGATCGGTGCCCTATTACCGAAGTTATAAGCGTGAAAAATTTACGTACATTTTTAAAGTCTCGCCCGTGCCCGCGAGTAGCGCGTGACGTCATCATTTCCATGCGGCCGCGCCGCCATATGGTTCCAGCGCGCTAATCATACATTTGTAGTAATATTTCGCGGGTGAGTTGTTTGCCCTCGTTCGCTCTGGTGTTTTTAAGTATATTTAATGATGGATGAAGGGTTTGAAAAAGGTCAATCTGACAACCTTCCAATAGTCCGTGACATGATGGTGGCGGAATATTTTCTAAGAAACAAAGATTTTGTCGCGGCTGAAATACGCATAAGAATAAGATAATATTTTTATAACCTCGGTACCCATTATTACATTAATACTTCTGGGTTTCATTTGCTAATGGTAAGAATAGGTATAACAAAAATACGTAAACATTCCTTACCTATCTACTTACTATCTGCCTCTAACTAATTTCGTTTTCTTATTCTTCTTAAGTGCGCCCTGACCTTTTTGTGGTTTTTATGTTTAAAAAATTTCCTGTTGTTTATATAGAAATTTACTACAAAATGCAAATATAACTTCGATGTAAAATATGATTTTATCTAAAAATCAGATATTTTCAATATTAATAGAAAAAGGGTCGCATTATTATTATGATTAAAAGCGTAGTTATATATTCTTCAGGCAAGGGATCAATATCAATATTATCATCTAGAGTAGTAACAGGATCGACAACATATCTATGCTCAATTTCTTGTGAAATATTGGCAATCGCATGTGCAACTGTTTCTGACCTAGATTTGGCATTTAGTTTTGATAGTAAAGATCTTTGTGGCTTTTTTTTATACCGATTTTCACAAGCAAACTTGTGAGGCAAAACATCTTTTTTAATTTTGAGAGGACCACCAACTAGTTTGTACTTCACGTAGTTTTCCATATCGTTTTCGACCTAGAACAAAATACAAAATTATTTAAAGTCTATAAAAAATAAGGAACCTCGTAATTTGTATTCCATCAATATTTAAAATATGTACCAAGTATTTAATACATAAAAATAGGACAACACGAAAAAAAAAATTTAAGTGCTCCACTACATAATCAAACTTGTTCCATTATTTGCGGTCCGCAAAGTATGCAAGTTGAACAGCTCTGCGATGTGTTTAGTTTTTGCTCGAAATATCGTAAAAATATAAAAACGTTTGTTAACATTATTTTAACCTTTATATGCATTATAAACATTTTCAAATTTGCTGCAAACATAGGTTGGTATCTAAACTTACGAACTCACGACAGGTCATTGACTTATTATCTACATTACAAAGGTAAGTACTTTACCCAAATTTGGATGTTTATTTACACTGAAGTAGTTTTAGTTAAATATGTAGGTATTAGTATTAGGTATTGTTTCTTCTTGAAATTATAATGATCATTAAGCGTGGAAAAATTCAATGAATCGTTAGTTACTTAAACACTGCGACTCGAGTAGGTGTGACCTACATTCATAATAGAAAGCATTTACTAGCACTAACCAAGAGCTATAAAGTGAAGGTTATTATTATTTGAATACTTACTTAAATGATCCTCACAACAATATGCTACCGTGTTTGGTCCTAAAGGATGTGCTCTTCTCATAACATTTGTCCATTTTTTTCTGATGGTAGGGTTTCTAGGCACATTAAAAAACAACTTTTCAGGTGTTTTTGTGGCCGTATTTTTACATTGAGACACAGCACAATATTTAATAGATGGTGTCATGTTCTATAACGTTTCTTTATAGAACATGAAATCGGACCAAAAATTAATATTAAAAAAACTGAAGGTAGCCGGACTAACTATGACATTGGGACGTCAAACATCTCAGTCCCCCCGTGACCATGGGCGCTGTAAAGCACCCGAAACGTCGGGATAATAATAAAAATAAATTAAAGTAATTAAACGCGATAAAATCCGTAAATAATAGTTTCATTTATGTGTAGTGTTCGAGTAAATTTAAGAAATTCATGTTCTATAACGTTTCTTGTTAAAAATAGATAGCAAGTAGATCCGCGGGCGACGGGAGCATTTGAATAGATATTTTGATTTTCTAAAAGCGCGTCAGGTCGCTCGCACTAAGATGGAAATCGTGACGTCTTCAACGATGTCGCTCTCGGCCCGCGGCTTAGGCCGAAAATATTAACTTTGCGCCTTTATATTTCGGTCAGTTTTGGAGATAGAAAAAAAATAAAAACACATTTATTCTCGTAATTTTTTGTAAAATTTTTTGGCATATAAAACAAAAAATGGTTATCTTCTCCATTCAACTTTACTTAGTAACTCATACAACTATAACAGCAATTCACCATTATAAATATTATATTTTTCAAAATGGCATCTTAAATTTGTTAAATAAGTAATAATTCAAAAGGTGGCATAAACCTCGTGTATTGTACAGCAGACTTAATGGAGTGGGCTGGCACAAGTTCTTGCTGCCCCTGCCCCGCAAGGCCCCTGCTGTTGGTCTGCACAAGTACATTCGTTTCCCAACATTTAGACTTTTTTAAACTATGGTATAATTGTACCATCTTGATATAAATTAACTTATTAAGGGCGTTAAAGTCGAATTATATGACCAGTAACTCTCAAAACAGGTACTCTCCTCGAAGCAGGATGAAAACCAAATCTTGATTCCTTAGTGAAAAGAGCCAACGACCACAAATGAGGTTCGCAGTTACGTGTTGTCTAGCCTATTGCAGTCTTCGTCTACGATTTCCCCTTCTTATAACTTACCTGTATGTGTCTTTCGATCATAATTATATGAAGTTGATGCCTTCTCTGTGTTTGTATACCATGTAGTCATGAATTGACGGACCGAATCATCAGATGAATTTTAGCCCTCCGGGAGAAAAATAAGAATTTTACTGGTATTCACACCTATGCCAGCTCCCACTGGCAACACTACTTCTCATGTCACTGTGAATTTATATCCTCTAGACTCTAGAATTAGGAACAAATAATAAAATGCAAGGTTGTATAATAATATACAGCA